CGTCAGCAGTGATCAGCGCCAGCAGCAGCAGCACCGCGGTCCCCAGGGCCAGGCGCACCGCGTTGTGTAACGTGTAATCTGCAGGGACAGGAAGGGACAGTCACCGGGAGATCCCAGACCAAAGGAGTCCTCCCATGGGGACAGCACGGGGCGCACTGGGAGACATGGGGCTCTCAGGGCAGACACGGGGACACATTGGGGGGTTCCTGGGCTAAAGAGAGCAACTGTGTCGACAGAATCTGCAGGGTCTCTGTGGAGCTGGCCAGGCTCAAACACATCTGAAGGAAGCTGGAACTCTCTGCTTGGACCCTTATGACAGCTGCTTTCCTCCTCTAAATCCTCTTTCCTAGTTCCCCCAGGACGTGGTAGATTGCAGGGAAGAAGAGTGGGATGTGGCTGGGGGGATGTCTTACCTCTCACCATCAAATCCAGGGGCTTGCTGACAGCAGACCATTGTAATGAAGCATTATTGAGGAAACACTGGCAGCTGTAGCGGCCCCTGTCACCTTTCTGCACATGGGAGAAGTTGTAGCCGTCTTGTTCCTTTGAGAGTACTTGGGCTCGGGTCTGGCCCTCCAGGTACAGGAAACAGCCAGTACTGGGGTGTGTGATGGTGCAACAGAACATCACAAGAGCTCCTGCAGTCACCTCATGCCCAGGCAGGACAGAGAGGTGGGGTCTTGGGAGATGGACCTCTGTGGGGAGAGGAAAGGGCATGGGAAGGTGTACAAGGCTTTGACATGGTGCCAGGAGCCACCAGCATCTCTGTGCAGCCACCAACTGGCTCAGACAGAGGTGAAGATAGTCCCCACCTCTCCAAGGCAGGGAAGAGGAGAAAAACCGTGCCCATCATGTGAATGGGGAAGACAAGTTGCTGCTGGTCTGCCCCTGTGGCATGTGGTCTCGCAAGAAAGGGTAACAGCACATTCCTCACCTGCCACCATGAGATCCAGCTCATCGCTGTAAGCCAGCACAGTGCCTCCCTCCATGTAACGGCAGTTGTAGGTACCTTTGTCCTCATAGGTGGCATTAGAGATGGAGAACTCGGCCCGGTTGCCATGCTGCTCCATGGCATGCAGCTGGTGGCTGCTCTTGTACAGCACAAAGTTCCCATTGCCATGCTGGTAACTGCAGCAGATGGTGGTGGAGCCTCCTGGTGGGATCACCCCGGGTGGCTTCAGGAAGATGGAGATTGTGGGGGTACCTGGACAGGGAGAGAGATGCTGCCAGACAGACAAGGAGCTCCCAGCAGCTGCCCTGCTGTGAGCCTGGAGCTGCCTCCAGGCCCCATCTGCACATAAGGGTAAGTTTTGTTCCGTGGGGCTGCAGAAGAGCCCTGGGAGATACTCAAGATACTCACTCGGTGTAGCCTTGCTCTGTGTCACCAGCCAAGCACCTACAAGAGAAGCAGCTGTGTAACATCTCTGTGGAGTCACCTCCTGTCACCCCCTGGGAGGCCACACAGCCCCTGGCACTCACCGAAGGCCAGCACATGGGTCACAGGCAGCATTGTGTCCCTGTTCTGTGCTCAGCTCAAGCAGGGCTGCTTCAGAGGAAGGCTTTGGCGGGAGGATCTGAGCAGCTGGGTGGCTTCTCGTGGGTCCCGATACGACTTGTTGCCGCAAACCACCTTCTGTCCCTCGGCTTGGGTTTCGGCAGACACAACTGTAGGGCTGGAATGGTTGAACTGAAACCAGAATGTCCCAGTAACATGCGCAGGGCTGGGCACCTATGAAGACTTGGTCTTAGGATCCTGCAGACCTTAGGAAAGAAGCTATCACGGCTTTATGTTTCTCTTTCTTGGTTCCGGTCTCTTGATGAGGAAATGGCTTCCTCTTGACCTTGTGAAAGACGGACATGTTTTGCAATCATGAAACCACAAGTTTGGTCACTCAACATAATACCATAGGAGGGAAGGAACTTGGCTTCCTTTTTGGCCTTCTTAGGGACTGTTTTGTCCCACCCGGCCTAAAGTGTCTGTCACTAGAGGAGACGTAGCGACACCTCCTACCTGTAGATTTGGATCCACTGCACAGGGTTGGTCCCATTTCTTATCCATCCAGGCCCCCTCAGCCCCATGCTGGAGTAACGGAAGGTCCTTACTGCAAATAGTTGCTCCCTTTCACCCCACCTGGGCCTCCAACCTCCTCAGCTGCATCCGTCCAGGCTGACCAGTGACACAGACAGAGCTTCCTTGGGCAATAATGAAGGGCTAATTAAACAGGGGAAGTCACCTGCGCCTCTGGGCGTTGTGGGAGCAGGATGGGTTCTGCAGGCAGGACATCCTGCCCCCCTCTGTGTGCACAACCTCTGCCACAGCTGGTCCCAGCAGGAAAAATAGGGAGGGCTCAGGGCTGGGCAGGTGTAGTGTAATCCAGGGGGAAAAGGCAAAACAGCTGCTGGACTTCTCCAGGACCCCTGTGGTCCCCCCTAGATTCTCTCTACCCTTTTCTTTCTCTCTACCCTTTTCTTTCTCTCTACCCTTTTCTTTCTCTCTACCTCGATTCTCTCTACCCTTTTCTTTCTTGGCCCTTCAGCCCTTTTAGTCTCCCTTGGAGATATTATGGGGTAGGAGAAATTTTGGCAGCAGGGTGCCCTGTGGCCTTCTCCTGTTCTGGGCCCATCCATGGGCACATTGGACTCCTTGCCCCTGCCTCTCCAGAGCCTTTTCTCACATCCTGCAGCTGAGGACCAACCTCCAGGTGCATATCCAGGGCATGGGACCATGGAAAGAGCTTTCCCCTCCATCACCACTGTCAGAGGTTGCTGCATCCAGCAGCCTGAGAGAGATGAGGCTGCCACAGCTCCAAGCCTACAGGCCCAAGCAGTTGTGGAGTCAACATCCAGCACATGGGTACACACACAGATACAGCCAGCCCACAGATCCATAAAGACACACGGGGATCTTGCACAAACAACACCAACAGCCTCGTCCTGCTGAGCAGAATGTGGCCCTTATTGTACCCCTTGAGGCACATTTGAGCTTAAACAGAAAAAGCTTTAACGAACAATATATTGTCAGAGTCCTACCACCGTAAGTGATTCCAAGAGGGATATGAAAAGATGTGGCTGGGGACAGTTCCTCATACCCACTTTCCCAGCCCCAAACTACCCTGTGAACTGGGCTGCAGCCTCAGCTGCAGCTCTACTGCCCACAGGTGGCTCCTCAGCGACTGCATTGTGTACAAGACAAGGCTGCTGCACAATTCACCCCATCAGCAAAGGAAATGTCATTCCCTGACAGAAGTCAATGTCCCTGGCA